ACATCTTGTCTGCCGTGAGATGTAGACCCCCACACAACTTGCATTCTGGAGTGCAGACGTGATCCTCAGAAGGAGATTACATACCACACCCTCTACAGACCACCTCCTTTGAATGGGAACAAACATCGGCTCGATGACCTAGCTTTGCACAGGCATAACAGACATCCGTCTGTCGACGATACAGGGTGCAGCGAACCAAACTATTTCCACATATGACGTAATTCGCGACATTTAGTCCGTCAAAGAAGATGATCACCGTGGTGGGATTCTTGATTCTTTTCACTTGCAGTGCAGTCGAGTTCCTTGAGTGTACAAAAAGTGAATAAAGTTGTTCTTGACCAATGTCCGCGTCAACACCCCTGATGATACCTTTGCAGGTGTCATCGGGGGCAGCTCGGTAGGCACTAACATCAAAACCGGCGGTACCGAGAGTAATGGCGGTGATCTTGGAATACGTTTTGGCGTTCCTCTCCGCTGGAGTGCTTATAACTGCAATGTTCTGCATCATATTCGAGCATACTACGTCTTCCGTGACTTCTTCCTCACTGAGCGCTGCAGCCACTGCGAGTGCCTTTGCGAACTTAATTTGACTGAAAGTTCTCATGTCCAGGCCATTTCTAGGCGTCACGATGACTCGATGGTGATCTCTTGGAAGGTGAGGAAGTCCAGAAGCAGCTATAAGACGCTTCTTCACCACATGCCCGGGAGCGCTGAGGCGACCTCGCGTCGCCGTGCATGGAGACGCTTGCTTGCATCTCGGTCCTGAGGGTATGCGTCCCATGAAATTTAACGTTTAGTGGTAGCCACAGACCATCCAGAATCTTGAAGATCATCGGGAATGATATCCTCCCCATCGACAGAGACTTGCATAGACATTCTGTGCGTAGAGTGCTGAAACACCCTTCAGAGAAGGGCCGGCAGCCGCTCAGCCGTAGCCTCAGCCTAGCGCGCTCAGCTGAGCAGCTGGGCAACCAGAAGAGTCTTGAAAAAGGGTCAAAAAGCTCACCCACAGTGAAATACGTAGTATCGATGTAGTCCGTGCGGTTTTATGCGTCGACTGGCACCAAAAGTCGCTCACAAATGCACGAAAAACTGTCCAAAAACATTTTCGAACGCGGAGCCAATGTTTTCACATCCACACGAGACGGCGTCCCCCTGGTAGTCTTTCAGATGTCAAGGACTTGAAAAAATTACAAGCTGATCAGCTTAGTGTACGTTCTCTACAAAATATTTTCAAAAATAATAGCTAATAGAATTAAGGTGACATTAGAGTTCAATCGACCAAAGGAACAAGCAGGATTTCAAACAAGCTACTCAACAATTGACCGAATCCATACTATCAATCAGCTAACACAGAAATGGGCAAAATACAACCAACCCCTATAAACAGCTTTCATAGAATATGAGAAGGTCTTCGATTCAGTAGAGACAACAGCAGTAATGCAGGCACTACAGAATCAGGGCATCAAAGAACCCTACATAAACACACTGTAAGAAATCTACAGTGGATCCACAGGCACCATAGTTCTCCATAAAGAAAGAGACAGAATCCCAATAAAGGAAGGTATAAGGCAGAGAGACACGATCTCTCCAATTGCATGTTTACACGAGGTTTTCAGGACCCTGAATTGGGAAGAGTTAGGAATAAGAGTTCATGGGCAGTATCTTAGTAACCTGCGATTCGCTGATGACATTGCCTTGATGAGTAACTCGGGAACAAATTACAGCTCTTGATTATAGAACTGGACACAGAAAGCAGGAAGAAATCATATAAACCAGATTATAGGTCGAGTAGGAATATAGGTCGAGCCCCCCAAGTTCACGTTACCAAAAAAGAAAGAAAAACAACCAAAAATTGCCGAACGACATTTATTTGCGAATAGGGCACACCACACCCCGATCGTCAGAGCTCCCCTCAACCACCATCGCAACTGTTCCTATTCGTCAGACGAAGCACCACTGTCTTCTGAAGACGAGAGTTTGTCGCTAGCCGCCTCTCACCATGCGTTGTCGTCCGTGCCATACAGAGAGTTGCTCATGGAACATTTCTTAAAAGCAATTTCCACTATGGAATTTGGCAAGGAACACCAGGCGGAAAGCACCCAGCCACGAAGTCGCAAGTTGAGGCCTCTGTAGGCGGCCCGTCGGTGTCCTTGAGTTGTTGCCGGACATCCACTTTTGGTACTCCAGCCGCACTCAGTTCTTAAACGGCTTGTTTAGCACAATGTCGATCAGTTAGAGGGTGGATGTCATACCACCTGGTATCATGGTGAGCTCCGTTTTTCCATCGCCCAGTGCGCGCTTCACAGCGTCGGTTCAGTGACTGCAAAACGCATCTAACACCAGCATGCTGCAAAGACGCAGGAGTGCACCTGGCTGACGGTTCCAGACTAATCGTATCTATTCGAGCATCATGGCCTCGTCCATGTATCCCTTTTTGTTGACCCAAACGACATCACCGGGCGGGTACACTTCCTTTGGCATTATCTTACCTTTCAAAACGATGAAGGGTGGAAGCTTTCTACCATCTGCCATGCATGCCAGAATTACGGTGAAGCGCGAGTGCTCGTTGCCAGTGGACAACAGCTTCATATCCTTGGCGCTATACTACATGATCATGGTTGATGAAGGCATGTCAAAGCACACGGGGGTGTCATCGGCATTGTCAATCTGCCCCATTATGTAGTTGTTCTGCTCCCAAAGCCGGTTCACGAATACCTGAAAGTTTATAAGGTTGTCCTCGAACTTGTCTGGAAACTTATGACAGATGGATATGCGCCACCGGAAAGAAAGTCCTTTGCGTCTCATGAATCGACGCACCCAAGAGTTTAGGCGCACGAAACTCTTCTCTCGTGAGCCCTGCTTCTCGAGCGAGTTCCACAGATTTTTTGCGAATGGTATCCACTGTCACTGGCAGCGAGCACGCATGAACTTCTCACACAAAGTTCTCTTGCGTATTCTCCAGCAGCGGAGGAACCACACTTCACCCACGAAATGACATTTTCCGAGGATTGCACATCTGCAGCTTCCTTTTCTGCACCCTCCAATAGCGCACGCTTTTTTCTAATACACCAAAACGGTGCTGAGCAGCCATATTCCCATTTGCTTCTGCGAACTCAACAACCTCTAGTTTAAACGCAGCTGAGTACTGCCTTCTCGTACCGCTACTCATATTCAGTGAACGAAAAAAAGACCACTAAAATTGAAACAATGTCAAGCGGAGCGAAAACTTAGAACAGATCAGAGGCAAATCACTAACACAAAGAAACAGACAAGAGAGAAAAAAAACAATAACCTGCTATTGGATTTGATTGTAAATATGGCCGTGTCCAGCTTCTGATGCAGATGCAAGCCACATGTTGCCAGACAGCGGTGCACTGTCGGCTAGATACTGCTATATAAGACGAGGAGCGACTTTAGCTCGTTGTTTTATTGAAAATATCTCGACTTATATTCTGGTTTATACGGTAAGTCTTAAAACTGATATGCAGAAAACTTAAGTAATGTGCAACAGTCTTCGCAGAAAACAGCACTTTGCGATAGGTGGAGAGACGCTGGAAGTTGTAAAGGAATATGTCTACTTAGGACAGGTAGAAACCGCAGCGCTGAACCATAAGAATGAAACAACTAGAAGAATAAGGATGGGGTGGATCACATACGGTAAGCCTTCTGAAATCATGGATCTGCCACTAACCCTCAAGGAAGAAGGTAAAGCAGCTGAATCTTGCCAGTACTTACCTACGGAGCAGACATCTGGAGGCTTACAAAGAGCGTACAGCCTAAATCGAGGATGACGCGGCGAGTGATGGAAAGAAAAATGATAGGTGTAACGTTTAAGAGAGCAGAAGAGGGCAGAGTGGGTTAGAGAACAAATTGACGTTAAGGATATCATATTTTAAATAAAGAAGAAGGAATAGACATGGGGCAGGCATTTAGCATGTAGGCAGGATAACCGTTGGTCTTTAAGGGTAACTAACTGGATTCTCAGAGAAGGCAAACGCACGAAGAGAAGACAGAAAGTTAGGTGGGCCGACGAGATTAAAAAGTTCGCAAGAATAACGTGGCAAGAGAAAGCACAAGACTGGGTTGATTGGCGGATCATGGGAGAGGCCTCTGCCCTGCTGTGGGCATAGTCATGCTGATGGTGATGGTGATGGTGTACTGTTCCCAGTTTTTACATGCAGTTAACTCCTATTAAACGAAATTCTCTTAAATGAAATTGCTGCTTAAAAGGAACAACTGCCCACAATATGTTTGGTTTCGTACTTGAATATTATACCCCTCTTTATCTCTCAATAAACAAAACTCCTCATAAAAGAAACACATTTTCTTGGTCCCTTCAGGTTCCATTTAAAAGGAGTCTACTGTATGTCACAATTTCACGCCGCATGCTCTTGTGTGTGAATGATTATGTGGTACCCATTGTCAACACTGAAAAATTTGTAGTCAAGGTTCACGAGAATAGGAGACAGAATGGGTGCTACTCTGATCTAACTTTACATGAGGCTTCACCCAGAACTATGTCCAGAAAAATACTCATGCGCACTCAGTCAAATGCCATGTCAAATACGTTTTCACTTCAAAAAATACTTGTCTTGTTATTTACGCTCATTATTCTCGATAGCTATGCACCTTCTCGCTGAATCTCAAGTTTGTTCAGCAAAATATCACTGCGTCTTTCAAAGCATGATCATCCCAAAAATACATCGACTGCTGCACTCGACACAAACAATTTACTGTTCAGTGTAGTATTGCAGCTGTGACGACTTCAAATTTCTGCTTTTCACTTCAGTTTGTCAGGTGCAAATCAGCCTCTATCCATTTGCAAAAGAATTGTGAAACACAACTTCTGGACAATTAGTAAGAAAACTGTCGCCGATTGCACTGAGCAGTGAAAAGGCAGGCCTCGACATCACGACACACCATTGGGCCATACAGCATAGTATGTTTTACTTTGCCTCAGAGACCCCCCTGCATGTCACCCACTGAGCACAGCTCACCTGTGTACTCGTTGGGGGTCTGTATGGGTGGGCAGTGTGCTTCGTGAAGCAGCTTGGCAGTCTCGATGAAGTCTCCATGCCGTCCCGACTGCTGCAACAGCTGTGCTCGTCGAAGCAGCACACATGCTGCATCCTGCTGCTGCTGCACCACACACACAGAGCCACAATTAGTGCCACTAGGGACTACTCCTCACAACATATTGCAATAGTGTGACCAATAATGTGTGATAGTGTGACTGAGTTAACGAGGTTTCACTGTATATACGCAGACCACGTTCTGCCCAACATTTGTGCCACATAAAAGGGGCCCTGCAACACTTTTTGAGCATGGCCAGAAAACGCTGCCGATCGGTAGTAGAGGCTCCCGACAACACGCGAGCCAAATAATATAGCACAGCACATGGCCTAGAATTCACAATAAATCATCAAAGTCAGCTAAAAATTGCTTTCTCTTCTCTCGACAAATCACGTTATATTCCCAAAAATCACACGTGAATTACCTATTTATCAGCCATTCGCTGACTTGAACACGGCGCGCTTGTTTGTCACAGAAATCGCCGTGGGAGACTGCGACTTGTCTACACAGGCACGCGCGATCACACCGAAAAAACGGCGCATTCGAAAAAAAAAAAAAAAAAGTGCTCAATGTCATGAGGCATGTGTGCCGTTTTTCTGTAGCCTTGCCATCCCTCCCTGCTCAGCTTCCAGCGCTTTTGTCGAGACGAGAGAAGAGAGAATGCAATTGCAGCATGCTAGAAATCTTTGTAACACCACTCGCACTCGATGGATTCTTAAAATTTTTGCGCCGTTGGTATAAAGCTTTTCCAGTGAATTCATTCCGTGGTTACCTGAAAAAGCGTTTCAGGGCCCCTTTAAGCTCGTAAGTGATGGAACATTTCATATTGTCACGAGTAAAACGAGACCTGCAGCCAGGAGTTCACCTGAACCAGAGCAATGAAAATGTTCTCTTCTTCTTCACAGCCCGAAACGAGTATGAGCCACAGCGGCTCGTTCATCAATGGTGGCATTACCCCCTCTCCCTAGAAGCATTGTCTCGATGCTGTACATGAAGGCAAAAAAGAAAAGAAAATGAGATGAAAATTACCATGCAAGCAAAATCAATGGCGTAAGGCGGAATATTGTAGTTGGTTGTGGAGCCAAGAGTTAAATGAGAAATAAGAAAAATAGGAAATAATGTAAGCAAGGGACGAAACAAATAGAAAGACGCGAAGTTACCAATAAAGTCAGTCACTCACTGGCGATTCACAGCGCGAAAAGTATGGTTTGAGCCGTGAAACGTGAACAACTTTAGTTTTCGGGGTGAAACGGGAACGTCTCGAAGTGCCTTCTGGGAGAACCTCGTAAGTGACGTCGCTGAGACGCCGTACGACCTTGTAAGGGCCGAAGTAGCGGCGAAGAAGCTTTTCTGAACCGCCATGTTGTCGGCTAGGGGTCCACACCCAGACTTCATCACCGGGCTTGAAAATAACTTCATGGTGACGAAGATTGTAGAGGCGCGCGTCTGCGGTTTGATGATGTTGAATACGGTGACGAGCAAGTTGACGGGCCTCTTCACACTGCGCGAATTTAGCGGCATCCGTGTGGTATATTCTTAAGTTGTCGGGCAGAAGCATGGCGTCGAGCATCGTCGTGACCTCGCGACCGTGAACTAAGCCAAAAGGTGTGAAACCGGTACTTTCTTGAACAGCAGTGTTATATGCAAAAGTTATGTAGGGAAGTATGGCGTCCCAGTTCTTGTGATCGATGTCCACATACATTGACAGCATGTCTGAAATTGTTTTATTGAGTCGTTCAGTCAGCCTGTTTGCTTGCGGGTGGTAAGCCGTTGTTTTACGATGTTCCGTGCCACTTAATCGCAAAACTTCCTGCAGCATCTCTGCGGTGAAAGCTGTCCCACGATCAGTTATGACGACAGCTGGAGCACCGTGACGTAGGACGATGCTGTTAAAGAAGAATTGGGCGACATCTGCTGCGGTAACTTTTGGAAGTGCCTTGGTTTCACAGTAGCGTGTTAAGTAGTTGGTAGCGACCACAATCCACCGGTTTCCAGACGAAGACGTGGGGAACGACCCCAGCAAGTCCATGCCAATCTGATAAAAGGGCGCCTTTGGTGGGCCTATTGGTTGCAGTAGTCCCGCTGGTCGTAAAGGTGGAATCTTACGTTGCTGACAGTCGCGACATGTGCGAACGTAGTGCTTCACAGTTTTTGCGAGATGTGGCCAGTAGTAGGAGCGTTGAATTCGTTGCAGCATGCGCGTATAGCCGAAGTTTCCAGACGGATGGCTCATCATGACACGCACGTAGAATGTCACCACAAAGCGTCGTTGGTGCAACAAGCAGATACATAGCTTGTGTAGGATGAAAGTTCTTTTTGTAAAGCACTCCATCGTGGAAACAAAAAGAGGATAGCGAGCGTGCAAAGCTTCAAGGATGGGTGGGAATTGCGTCCTTCCAAGTAGTCAATGAGCGAAATGAGCTCCGAGTCGTGACGCTGTTGCTCAGCCAAGCAGGTTGCTGATACGGCAGAAAGAAAAGTGTGGTGTCTTCAAGGTCAGTGTTGGCATTTTCGACCTGTGCACGTGAGAGACAGTCGGCGTCGGTGTGTTTTCACCCAGATTTGTGGACGATAGTGACATCAAAATTTTGTAGCCGAAGGCTCCATCGTGCTAGACGACCTGAGGGATCTTTGAGATTTGCGAGCCAACAAAGGGACTGGTGGTCGCTAACTACCCTGAATGGGCGGCCATACAAGTATGGGGGGAACTTTGTTATGGCCCAGACAACAGCGAGGCATTCCTTTTCGGTTGCAGAATAGCTTTTCTCCGCTGGGGATAACGTTCTGCTCGCATAAGCGATCACGCGCTCTACACCGTTATGCCGCTGAACTAATACCGCTCCTAGTCCAACGTTGCTGGCGTCAGTGTGTGATTCTGTGCCAGCACTTTCGTCAAAATGACCCAGTACAGGCGGAGCTTGGAGGAGATTTTGGAGGGTGTCGAACGCATGACACTGATCGGGACCCCAAACAAACGAGACACCGTCTCTTGTAAGCTTGTTGAGGGGTTCAGCAATCTTCGAAAAATTTTTGACAAAGCACCTATAATACGCACAGAGCCCCGAAAATCGGTGTAGGTCGCGCTTATTTGTGGGCACAGGAAAGGCGGCAACAGCGCGGGTTTTCTCCGGATCTGGGCGGATGCCGGCATGGCTCACAACGTGACCAAGGAACTCCAGTTCTTCATATTCAAAATGACATTTCTGGGGTTTGAGAGAAAGCCCCGCTGTTCTGATTGCCTGAAGTATTGCATGAAGGCGTTGGACGTGTTGTTCAAATGTGTCTTGCAAAGACCACGACGTCATCAAGGTAAACAAGACATGATTGCCATTTGAGCTCCGCAAGAACCGTATCCATCATTCTTTGGAAAGTAGCTGGCGCTGAGCATAGACCGAAAGGCAACACTTTAAACTCAAACAGGCCGTCGGGAGTAATAAACGCCGTCTTTGCGCGGTCGCGCTCATCCACTGCGATTCCCCAGTAGCCGCTACACAAATCCATGGAGGAAAAATATTTAGCGTTGCGTATACGGTTCAATGAGTCATCTATCCGGGGTAGACGATAAACGTCCTTTTTGGTGACCTTGTTCAGTTTACAGTTATCAACGCAAAAACGCAACGTACTGTCGTTCTTTTTTAGTAGCACAACTGGCGAAGCCCAGGGACTGGTCGATGGCTGGATGACGTCGTCCTTAAACATCTGCTGGACTTGGTCACGTATAGCGTCTTGCTCTTTTTGCGACACCCTATAGGCGTGTTGTCGGATGGGTCTCTCGGTGGGTTCCGTGATGATACGATGCTGAGCAAGTGGTGTCTGTTTGACCTTTGACGTAGTGGCAAAGCAGTCTTGAAATGAGCTGAGTATACGCAAAAGGCTTTCTCGTTGAGCCAAACGTAGTCTCTTGCTTACGTCGAGAGTGCTCGCGAAGGCCTCGGCAGGATGGCCATTCGAATGAAAATGAAGCTAACGTAGACGAATCATCGGCATCGGCAAGTTCTTCACAATATGCAATTGCAGTGTGTCTCGTTAGGTGACAATATTCGTCGCTGAAGTTCGTGACCAGCAGGTGAACATGCCTATTGCTAGGCTGAATGATTCCTCGGGCAACACAGATTTGTCGTGAAATAAGGAGAGACAAATTGGCCTCTGCAATTACCGCGTCAGACACGTCCTGTCCTAATTCTACTTCGACAAAGACGCTGCTTCGAGGGGGGAGAGTCAGAGAATCGTCGGTAACACGGAGCGCTCCTTTCCGGAATTGTGTACTGTCAGTTGCAGCGCAAAAAGGATCCTCAAACGACACAAGTAATTCATGGAGGTCGATGACGGCGCCGTATTCACGAAGGAAGTCCATTCTCAGAATGACTGGCCGAGAGCACACGTGCAATACGAGGAAAGAGCCCGCAAATGTCGACGTACGTATATGAATGCGTGCCGTGCACATACCGGTAGGCTTCACCAGAAGTCCACCTGCCATGCGCAACTGGGGTCCTTGCCATGGTGTGGTAACCTTCCTCAGTTCAGATGCCAGTGTGACGCTCATTACGGAATAGTCGGCACCGGTGTCGACGAGGGCATTCACAGCATGATTGTTCGACGAAGACGGCGATTTCGGCAGAAACAATCTTTCTGCTGTCGGAGAACACTGCGAAACCGGAATGGTCCTCATTTGGTCGTTGGGTCGAAGGAGGGTCTTTTACAGTTCGCCGGGCCGTGACTTCACCCTCAGAAGTCGCCGTTCCTAGTTTCCTCTGCGGGGACTTGGCGACCGGCTTCTGAAAGAAGCGGAAAACGATGAGGGCAAACTGCGTGACGTAGACCGGCGAGGCGACGGTGATCTCGACTGGTGGTGCTGAATAGTCGAAGGAGTTCGCTGGCCCGTGAGATAGGCTTCAATTTTGCTGGGGCGCTCACTGTAGCGCGGGCACCGAGCATCAAGATGGAAGCCGCGGAGACCTAGTTGCCGGTATTGACAGTTTTTGTATACGTGACCTGCTTCACCGCAGTGATAGCAGAGCGGACGGTTATCTCAGGTGCACCACGTGCTTGCCTTGCTGCCACTTTGT